ATTACGGCCGACTGAGTGCCAGATCCCAAAGGCGGAAGAACAGTTACTAGACCTCAACCTACTGCTTGAAACCTTTGATCTCCCAAGACCAGCACCTACAGCCACTGCTACGCATGTGTCGCTCAAGACAGATCCATTGCTGCAACCATGACGCCGTACCGGTCGCACCAGAAAAAGGGTGGAACCTTTTACAACTTGATCCGCGTCGAAAATCTTATGTTGAACGTCAAAAAGGGGGAGGTATCAGGAAGGTCAGCTTCCTGAAAGCAACCACTGAATGCCCGGAATCTACCGAGACTCTCAGCTCCGCTAGATGTTGACCAGACAGACAACGTCCCCTCAATATGCAGCGCGTCACAGCCTTGTGTCAAACCCAGACAGTGCGAGTCAGCGTTGATCAAGGTCAGACAACGCCACCGCGATATGCAGCAAGTCGCAGCCAAACCGTGTGAGTCAGCATTGGACCAAGTTCAGACAGTATCCTTTCAATAAATAGCTTGAGGCCGTTGTACTTTTCGCACCCGCGCTCTCGCAACCACTTTTTTGGAATATAGCTATTGTGTTCCCTTCCGTGAGTCCTTTTCCCTCCGACACTAGGCACTGGAGCGGGTCAGTAGCAGATACCACAGTCCGGCGAATCAGCAGATATAACAAAGACAGTAAGACAGTGATTTCGATCAAACTACGCACTGAGACGACATGGTATCGAATGCCGCAGCCGTCCACGATTGCGAATCCACCGTTTTAAAGAAGCCGAGTGACAATCGACATTAGCTGTCAGTCAGTGGGCTAAAGAAGACCGTTCAGCTGTAACACTTTCGGTGCCTAGCTGCGATGCCAGCCGAAAAAGGCACGAGAGCTCGCATGCTGCCGCGTCACTCAAGCCTAGACGGGGCAAACGAAACGTCAGAGTTGGGGTCGAACTACGGACCCACCAATCAGCACCTTTACACCCTAACAGCTGAGTTATCTCGGCTAATTGCGAAGCGGATTGTACACCACAAAGCCAAAATCAATGTGTTTGAACTTTTTCAAAAACCATAGGAAATAATGACACGATTCAGGTGAAAATGCATACCCAAGGCTGGCGGAACCAGACAAGCGATAACGATCGATACAAGAGAACAAGCGAACTTTCGACATACATAGGAGAAATTCATTATGTTCACGTCAACAAAGAAAAGGTCACTGGATACGAAATAAATGCGCCAGTGGCTGAAAGAATCGATTAGAGCAGTGACACACCTGTCAGGATGATGCGTTGCAAATAAGCAAGCGATTTGCAGACAGTATAAGCAACCGAAAGAGAAAAGATGGCACTTACCGAAAGCATGATTATTCAGTTCCAGTGCATCCACCGGAGGGGTTTGCCGTTTTCGACTACCGTTTTCCACGACCTCGGGTAATCCGTTCACGATCACCGGGGGTTCCCCGGGTACGGACTTTGTAGCAGGGCTAGAAAGCAACAGAAACAGGGTGAGGTTCGACTTCATCGCGTGTTGTGAACACAAAATTGCACTAAACCCCGGAAACTAATACGAAACTCCACGCAGACTCAGATATTGCTGCTTTCGACCAACATCTTTCGAGAATCAGTGGACACAACTGCCATGACAGTAAGTTGCGAAGGGATTATTAGGTTCCAATCTACGCTTTCACAAAATAAAAATTCACGTCGGCTGACAACCACTGGTATGGACTGAAGTTGAACGTTCGTGTGGGAATTTGAGTTAGTATTTGAACCCCTACTCCACATTGGCGCCCTACTGATGGCTCGCTGTATTCTTGTCATGATGAACAATGTAGTTAGTTAATATTTGTCATGATGAACAATGTAGATAGTTAATATATCGCCCTTGAAGTGTATCAAGGCCGGTTCATCATCCGCAATTTTTCAAAGGGTTACAAGTATGCCTTTGAAAACAAAAGGACAGATAGCAGTACGGTGACCATAACCGAAGCCTGGTAATGGAAGGGACATTGCGACCGTGTCAAGCCAATCGGACACGCGACAACGGGCACTCCACATACCTCAAACGACCATTCCAACCCATGTTACTGTGGCCGAGTCCTACTTCATTGGATGGGAAAGTACGCCTCGTCTGGTAATGCCAAAAAATGTGTTATCTTGAGAAGGACTTGAAAATAATTTGACGAACGATTGAGTTGTGCCACGTAAACGTGCAGCCCGCGATTACCGTACAAGGTGTGTGTATACTTTAGCGAAGAGCGCACAGTAACAGGAATTTCGACTTCCGATTGCGGTACACAATCGGTCCTTTTTGATTTGTCCCAAGTATCTGAACTGAAGGACACATTGTTGGTGTGATAAGATCAAAGCAGGTATTCAGCAAGACACATGATCATAAATCGATTCAAACTTCAATCCAACCACTGGCTGAGCGACTTGAACGCACATTCATCGGAAATGGTACATGTTCTAACAGATAGTTTCAATCCCCGTGTTCCAGTGTGCGATAGTGAACCAACAGTGTTAAGTGAAACTGAGCCATCAGCAACCAGTTTTGTCCAGCTTGTTATCTATAAACCATGTAGCAAAAAAACATGGGTCCCAGCTGCTATCACTTTCGGTCACCTGAAGACGGGAAGGCTATGGAGTTAAGCGGTGGAATGATCAGTTAGTTCGCACTGTACGTTGCTCTGAGGTAACGTGAAACGCGACAGCGAGCGCCGCTGGCTGCGTGATGGGGACAGAGTCATTAACCATCGGTGAGTCCAGTCCCAGGGTACATATCCAGGGAGACAGTTGTCAGCCCTACTGGGTTTGCTGATAGTGTTTTCATACTTCACTGTCGTATCGTACACTGCCCACTTCTCGGTTGGTTCTAATCAGCACGGAGCTGAGCGAAAGAAGCTGTGTGAGGTAGGCTCTCCTCTGACATACATAACTAACCTATGAAGCCTGAGTAATTCACCTATCGCGGGAGAGCTCCTTCTCCCAAAAACCATCTGGAGTACCGTAGCATCGCCGATATTTCAACCAGACCTGTTCTACGCCTCGGAGACACCGAGAATTTTTTTATATCCCATGCACGCGAAGGCCACGTTTCTGACCCAGGAGGCATTTGAAGGGCAAAGGTGAGAAAGACAACCCCGTCTTACACCAGTGGACGTGGTAAACTTAGGCGAGAGCTTGTAATATGTTCGTACTTACAAACAGAAGTTGGGACACAGTGTCCTTATAAAGGACAAAAATTCAGAAGGGACATATTTCCCGTCAGACACAGAAGTTGACAATTTTCAGAATAAGAAACAAACAAAGCAACCATAGTTGGACGTCTGAAGGGTAGGCGCTGTTTAAAAATCTTTTTCAAGGTCAAGATATCGTCGATGCGCTCTCGACCAGGACGAAACCCCGCTTGATCCTCACGGATTCGTTTTTCTTGGTAATCGATCAACCTCCGCAAAACAATACGAAGATTCTTTGATGCTACGGTGGTTTTGGAGGACTGGAGTTACCATCGAAGCGCTCCATTCCACCCTGTTTTCCACGATCGATCGAAAAACAATGTGAGATTAAGTCACGTGATCCGATTGTTAGCCTGCTGCTGTTCCGAATAGTAAATGGTGTATGGTTCAGCTCAGCACCCTTTCGGTGTCTAGCTGCTATGCCACGCGAAGGGACAACGGGGGCCGAGATACTGTCAGGTTGCCCGATTCTAGATAGGACCAGTCGAGATGAAGAGGTAGGGTTCGAACTACGAATATTCGGCCTCGACCACTGAACCACCTCGAGTTGTGAGGTACCACTTGGAGAGTAGCAGTGAGGGATATGAACCTGAAGAAAGCTTCTCATGGCTACATACCCTCTGAAAGTAGTAAGTTTTATGTTGTCCAGGTGCGTCTGTCTACACTGGAAGCATTTATCTAAACCCATTTAAAAAAATTAAGGTATACGGTCCATTTTCGGCACATTTGAAATCTACTAGAATAAACTTCTTTAAGATCACGACAAACTAGAAAATTTGTCGCGACGTTGAAAAGGGCAGTTTCTGGTACGCCAGTTCCAAACGGTAGTACCTGAATAGTTAAACTTGACAAGTTTTTGAGCATCACATATCATATAAAATCCACCCCATCACTTTGTGTTTTTTTGGTTCCGGAAGTATAAACGCTTTTGGTGCGAACAAGTTGGTACATTTTCAGGTAATCCGTGTCAGTCACACTGAACAGCTAACTGCACTTGCACACTATCGATGCACTTGGTTTTTTAAGGTCAATCGGTGGCTAAAAAGATGTGATAAGGATAAAGATAAAGTAATGACAGGCTGATGGCAACCAGCAATTGTGTGTATTTGAATCTGCTCTGATTGGTCACCAGGCAGACCAGCGAATAGGTAAGGAGACCCAAAAACGCATCTTTCCGTAGACAATGAAGGAAAACACTAGATTCCTGAGAAATACACCCATTTGCAAATCAAGTTGGTTTTCAACTGAATTCCACCTGATGAGCCCCAAAAAGGGCGAAACCGGTCATGGGTTGTCGAAGAGTTTTCAGCAACCTTGTGAGTAGCTTCCCTTATGAAAACACTAGATGTTCACCGAATCAGCTCAACAGTAGGCCAGGTGCGGCGTCTCCATCAAATTCAGTTAGCAGTGCTATCCGCAAGGCCATATTTCGCTTCAGACCCCACAGGTTTGGTTCGGTTGGCATGGCGAAACGGTCGATTGACATACGTTTGACCTACCGCGGGGTGCAACGTGGACCACAGGTTACAAATACACGGCAAGGCGCCAACAGCCGTTTAATGGGACGTTCCCGTAAAGTAGGCAAACGAGTATCACCTCAAACCCACGTTCAACACACTTTCGTTCGTGGACCTATGGATGACAGTCTATCGTTGTTTTCTAACTCAAAACCACTTTGACAGCATCTTGACCGTGGAACAAATCAACGACCGCAGCCAACCTATCAACAATCGGAAAAATTGCTAACTCACGTATTAGTTGATTGTTTAGCCCCAATGGGTCGTTTCGTATTCGTATTCGAATCGACATCTTCCGTCTGAAGCTTCTTTGCTCCGCGACTAGCTGGAAACAACTGGGTCAGGAGCGATTCCAGCATGACCGCCTGGAATTTCGGATCGCGATTAGCCAAACGTGCCTGCAGCTGTTGTTTATACCGTTGCAGAGTGTTGGCATCCATCGTGGGCAGGAGTGACTGCACTTCAGACTGGAGGGTCGACAAAGAGTGCAACCGTTTGAATGGCTGGCGGGCCTGCTTTCGAGGTCCAGAAGGACCCGGGCGGAGACGGCGGGACAGGCGCAATACAGGGCTCGCAACAAACTGAAAGCTGATGTTGTTTCGAACTCTTCCGGACAATGGACTGTCCACACTTGACTGAGGCGCACTGATGGAGTGCCGGTTTAAAGTTATGAGGCTCGTTGTGCTTATGCTAGATTGCATTGATGTATCTGCTTTCTTGACGTCAGAAGGCGGTAACGCTGCGGTTGCATCATTCATCCGGTCTAGAAACGACAAACAACAACACGGTGGGAGAATCACAAAAATAGAGTTAACCGGAACAGAGCAACACCCCACAGAGGAAAAACCACTTGCCTGGAGAGCCCACAACAACATTCCCCATCAGACATGACTTGGTGTTAAATTTTCCCGGAGGGTGACCAAACACACCCTTTCCCCCACGGGGGCTTCTCTCGAGAAGATACCGTACTGTCCAACGTCAATACGTTCGCCTAGGCTCTCACAACTGTCGGAAAGTAATGAATGAGGGGAAAAGCGTAGCAACTGAATGGGAGTGGTGAGCTATTCACGTAAGAGGGTTCTAAGCGAACACTCGAAACAGCTCATTCACATAGAGGGGACCGCAGAGGTCACGGCAGGGCATACCAGCCTGAAACGTCCCCAGCTGAAGGTTGAGTTCCGGCTTTTCTATTGCGTGACACAGCCTGGTCTGTGTTGCGTGGTTCCCTCATGACTATCAGGCGATGGATAAATGAACCGAGAGAAATAAAAAGCAGTCACCGAGTGACAGCGCCATAAACAAACAGTGGAATGTCAACGTACTTGCGGTTGGCGTGTGGTTGGACTATGTTGGATAGAGCGGAATGTGTGACCCTTACATACATACCACTAACGACCTGTACTAGCGAGGTGTACACTGTCGTCATAGTTCTCAAAGTATGACTAACACTCAGATGGACTACCCAGCGCACAATAAACTTGTTGGTCATGATTACACTCAACGAACATGACAACAACGACCAAAACAGAAACAACAATCATTCCATCAACTCAGTCAGGTTTCAAATAAAAGTAATCACGAAGGAGCATGACCTTTTCATCCATCATCTCTGGATACGGTAAGATACGGTGAGGAATGCTGTTTTTAGAGGTTCCATGTGAAAAGTGTCCCCACAACTCTCATGACCTTCAATTTTAAAACCCGCGTACATGTTGTAGAGCGTTTACAGCTGATACAATTTCGTTCGCCGATGATCTAGGAATGTAGGCCCCAAAAATCTGATTGAACAGGAAACAAAGAATAACCTTACCAGTAAAAGATGATGTGATGCGGCGTCTGGTTGTATCAGGATTCAGATATGTGTCACAAAACATCAACACTACAGCTAAGTTAATCCGTGCAACAGAGACATGTTGGAACTCCTAGGGTGCGATTGGGAATAATTGACACACCAGAGCAGTGGATCGCAAACTACCCAGCTTGTCTGCCTAGACGTAACACACTACTCACAAGATTGCTGAAAAATCTTCGACTGCCCGCGATCGGTTTCGCCCTTCTTGGGACTTATCAGGTAGGCGAAGCTTATTATACATAATGGCTAAAGAATGGAGCAGGTTAAATAGAACACAACCGATGTGAAAAACTAATGTAGTTATCTTTCACCTCAAGAGGGACTCCTCTGAGATAGACCCACATGACGGGCTGAGCAGTGCTACGAGGCGAGTATCCAGAAACCCTACCTGTAATTGCTGGTCTGTAAGCCAAGCTTGGCAGTTAGATTGCAAACGTCTCGTCCCCAATCGAGGAGACATCTACAATGCGGGGTTTTGTGAGTACATTTCTCCTCTCCCGTCTTCGCTTATACTGTCACAAAAAGACTTCATGAGAATGGGGCATAAGTCTACATTTGCCATGAATTCAGTGTTCCAGGTGTCCGATACTCGTGCATGACAGAGAGTGACACACTAGCTAACGTGGCGGACCTGTATAACGGTAGTTTGGTTTCGTAATCTCGGCCGTTGGAAATTGAGGGTCTTCATCTGGTCGAGCAAACCGATCAAGATAACTTGTCACAGTGTAAACAGTGATAACTATCGGGAAGTCAGTAGCGTCATTTTATTTTATCCGTCAGCTTTTTTGCTATCCACCAAGCGGTGGATCTTCCAACGAACTGCGGGGTACACAGTTGTTAAATCAAGTGTAAACTGGTGTGGTGAATTGATTCATCGATGTGCCTAAGCTGTTTCGAAGAGGACAGTCAACTAAAAACTAGATCAATGGCATGAAGAATCTTCGTTTGAAGGAATGAATCAGTTTCCCTCTTTAGTTCGTCGAAAGAAAAATGCAAAGGGGAGAATTCGGTGCCTCCAAAATTGTTTCTTCGATAGGAGTGGAAATTTTCCAGAAAGAGAGCATTGTATCAAGTCTTCCCGCATTACAGAATGCTGGATCAAAGGTCAACTTATATATTGCTCATACTAGGTTGTTTCTATCATCCAACTCGTCTAACATGACTAATCAATCAATCAATTTAATTTACCACCTATAGATTGTGCCATAGGCACATTGGTTCCAACTGCTACAGTTTCGATCACCGAAAACCAAGCATTGGGGGCGAAGGCATGCTCAGTTTGTTCAGAAATTGGGTAGCTACGCATTGAAGGCGATAGTTTTGATTCACGAGCACCACTGACTGCGCGATTGGTCCATTTCCGCCAATGTCATTAACCAATGGTGACTTGAGTCTCGGGGTCCTCATCCAGGGAGGCGGCAGTTGCCCACCTGACTAAGTTAACTAGTTAGTGTTTTCGTACTTTATTGCCAGAGTGTACATTGTCCACCTGCAGGTCGCTTCCACTAAGTAAAGGGCTGGGCGAAATGAGCTCTGCGAGGCAGGCAGTCTTCTGGAATGCGAACTACATGTCCCAATCAGCGCAGCCTATGAAGCGTGAGTAAAACATCACTAATAGTGTCTGATTGAACGTAAAAATCCACTTGTTCGAAAGACCGGATGGAAGTTACAACCTCACGACTGTGACATGTTCGACTTCTCAACGAAAGCATCCAGATTACACGCTTCCGCAGAGACTTGAAAATGCATCTGATTGTTTACCAAACTGAAGGTCTTCTGGGACCTTTTCACGCCAGACAATTTGCACTTCTTTAGGCATACCACAATGCGACCATCATATGATTCGATCGATCGTTGCAGTCCAAGTTAGTGTGCGCTTTCTCATCATGTCGCCCAACTGCGTTCCAGCAGTTAAGGTCATATCGGCGCTGGATACCAGACTGATGCGGTATAGGAGGTCGTATTACTACATCCTGAAATCAAGTGATGAGGATACTTATCTGTTGAATAAGTGCTCACGACGAACAACTCGGCACCATAAGACATGGAGGCGGAAGAGTTGATTGAGACCTTTAGGTTCCATCGACTAAATTCAGCAATAGAGCTAGACTAGATATCCTAACTCAGCACGTGTCATTGTTCTGAAGATCATGTAATGTGATTCTTATGCCTAGCAACACAGATGGATGCACTGGGTCTTACGCTTTATCTATCAGTTATTCCGCCATCAAACACGTATTAATGTACCGCGTTTTCAGCTGTCAAAGTTACTTTTCCCAAGGATAAGGAGAACGAGAAAGTCGCCCGTTACGGACGATGACCCAACCAGCTCATTGACATCGATTTGTCTGATAGAGAAGCAAGTGAGACAGACAAGCCACGGCGGCAATGGCGTTGATGTAGGACTGCCATTTACAGCCTTACAGGGCTGTCTGTCAAGGTCACTAACCGTCGGTTCACCTCACCTCAGGGTCTCCTTCCAGGGGGACGGTAGTTGCCAACGTGGCTGAGTTGTCTTTATCCAACGCATCGTTGGGCGAACGGTCCCTCGACACAAAAAAGCACATGGTCTAATCAGAGTAACCTATGGAGTGTGAACAGATGATCTATTGATGAAGATTCATCCTTCCTGAAGATCATCTGATGTACAGTGGCAGATCCGGGTAATGTTTCAGAGGTATCGACGGTCAAACACGCAGGGTCTTCGAAAAGTTTCTGCACACAGCCATCACGTCTACGATCCACGAAGTGGGGCTAATCGCACCGCCATTGGTTCCTCTACACACAACGACTGATCGTTTCGGGCACATCTGTCCCAACTGCTGCCCCTTTGGAGAATGTCCTTGTAGAACGGGTGATAATGGGAAGTTCAACATTGTGAACGTTCCACCGTCTAATTACTAATTATTTGAAAACAGTAGTCAGATGTTCCCTTCTGGTATACATTTTTACAATTATTTGGTTTGTTATCATGTCAATAACCCAGCTGGATCAGATCTCCAGGGAAAACCCATCGTGGGATGTTTCTATTGATACAGCAGTATTAGAACCGTCGTTACAAACGATACATCACCATCATTCATCAATGTCAGCTGTAATAACCGCGTACTCATCGTACAGTGGTTGTAGCTACCGCAGTTTCGTTCACCGATGATTTGGGGGGGGAGGGGTAGGTAGCTGCGCATTGCAGGCGGGAGCTGATAAATTGGTGCATAAATCCAGCACTGTCAGTGGGCTGTCAAGTGAAGGGAGGGTTGGAAAAGGAGCTATGCATTGAAGGCAATAGCTTGGATGCATGAGTGCCATTGAGGGCGCGACTGGGCCATATCTGACAATGTCTCTAGCCATTGATGTGGACCGTCTCAGGGTCCTCATCCAGGAAGACGGCAGTGACCAGCGCAGCTGAGTTTGCTGGTAACGGCTTTCATACTTCGCTGCCAAGTCATTGGTTGACCGCCTCTGGCTCTCTTCCACCCTTCATATGGTTGGGCGAAAAGAGCCCTTCGAGGAAGTCGGTCGACTAGCATACGCGACACGTGGCCAAGCCAGCGCAACCTATGCAGTGTGGTCAGTTCGTCTATCGAGGGTGAGTTATTTCTCCCGAATACCATTCGACGTATTTCAGAATTGCTGATCCGGTGTTCCCACCAGATTCGGGCAATGCTCCGAAGACATCGATGGTCAAACACTGAAAGTCTTTTGACGTCCTCAGCGCGCAACGGCCAGGTTTCTGATCCATATAGTAATATGGAGCGCACCGCAGCATTGTAAACTCGATACGAACGAACTTCTACGAAGAATTTGCAAACTGAGTGGAAGAACATGACTACTTGTCTTTGTATAGCCAATTAAGCGGAATGAAATTTGGAAAAATCGTTTAAGACGATGCGCCAGCCAACCCTTTCCTTATGGATCCTTCGAGTCAGGTGCAAAATATTTTAGCGGCTGTTCCTGAGAGAAATGCTTAGCCAAACTACCCAGCTTCAGTCTATAAAGCAATGGCTGGGAAACCTATTTGTTTCATACCTATTGGAGAGTCGCTGTCGGTGCGCCCTTCATAAATATTGAGGGAAATTCTAGCCGATATCCTCACGGATTAACGGCTAAAATACCGTCCAGCTAGGGCGGCTGATTTAGAGGTTGGTTAGATTTCCCTCAATATGGCTTTGGATTCTGACGATACAGTATTCTAAACATTCCCTAATCACATCTACATTGTAAGCTGAAGAATCCAGGTCATTACAATATCCTCTCTGTTGATCTGCTCTACGGTGACATTCGCAAGCAATCAGTATATTTCCCGGGAACGTCGGCAATAGGACCGTCGACTTCTGTGCTAGTCCTTGGATTGCTGTTTCATCCACCGTGGTATTTTAAAAGGCACGTAGATTGAGGCTGTCACTTTGGGAGATGACAGTCGTGTTGATGGAGCCACTAAAGAATTCTCCACAGGGTCGAGCTACGACTGGTAGGGAAAGAGGCGGCGGGATAAAGTCCCTATTATGATTGGTCCGAATTCAGACCAATCAGGATCAAGCTTCCCGTGACCCGCAGCTGGTGCGCCGCTAATCCGTCTACTCGGGGTGGTTTACTTTAATTCGGGGCCGACACGGACACCATCCAGTATCGATTTACGATGGAGGTTGTTTAGACAGTTAGTAAAGTGCTGACACGAGGCGATAAGCTAGTTGCTCTGCAGTTCCTTGGTTAGTGATTAATCAAAAGCTCAGTTGGCACCGAATATTGCAGAAGCGTTATATGCATTAGAGGGGATAGAAGCACAGTGGCGCGGTCTGTGAAAGTAAAAGGAGTGAAACAACTTGAGTCAGTCACTATAAAGTACAATGCAAACATCTGAAACCACCAAGTGTAGCCTTAAGGAACAGGTACTTACCAAGTATAGAGGCGGACTTCAGATCACCATACCGTTTCCAATAATTCCAGCAATCCGTGCAGACTTTAAGTGGTGATGTCGCGGGTCCCAGGGCGTACCACTGTGAGGACGAGGCGGCTTTGCAACCTTCACAGTTGCTGGGTTGGTGCTCGGCAGAGGCCGGGTACAATACAGCAGGATTTGGCTTATTGTAATTTGGAATGTACACTTGTTTCAGGTGGTGTTCTGCCTCAGCCGCCTTGAGCCGTTTCTGCTGAATGTAGTGATCGGTTGTTTTCCACATGTAGTAGAATTCGATCAAGCTCTGTGGAGGTTGACAAAAGACAAATAACCAATCAGTTGTATCACCCTTTCTGTTGTTAGTGTGTCGAAATATTGGTAGTTCGAGTGTCTTAACGGGTGGTTGATCAGATGACCGTCGATCTGTTCACCGCGCCTAACCAGTGGCTTGCAAGCGTTTCGTCACCAGTCGAGGAGACATCGTCCGTCGCTAACGCAACAACCAGAGGAAGCTCTAAACAGTTAAAAATATGCAGCTGATTTAGCATCCGGGAAAAACGCCACAGAAGAGCTAAGGCTACGTATTTCCAGGTGGCTATCTTCCTTGGGGAGGATCATTTTGATATTGTGACTAGTTACAGAACCCGACAGATGGTTGAAATGCACACCGTAGTCTGATACGCTTGTCCTTCAAGACCCAGTGAGAAGATACCTTTTTGACACCACAAGTGACGCGAATTTGCAAACACAATCTGGACTTCGAAATTCGTGCATTGATTTTGTATGTCGCACAACCGTCAGAGCTAAAGCGACCTCTGAGATATGTATAGTGTTCCATAAATTCCAGTGCCACTCCTTGAATTCCTACAGGCATGCGCAAACACTGTATGTCCCGCAGTATGAATTTGCACTTTGTGAGGGTGAAGCACATGCCGGAGCATTCGATGACCTTGGTCATCCCAGCATTGATTACACTTCCTGCTCTTTCTCAAAAACTAAGACAATGTCGTCTGTATACTACAGGCCGACAAGGTGGCTTGTAGATTGAGGACGCCGGGCTCGATTCGTCCAAGTTTACCCCGCGGCTTTGGACAATAAGGATGGATTCCTTCAACGGACTGGCCACAGAGTTCTGGCCCTGTAATTTGTACGGTACGTGACACTCGGTTCACGAAACGCATCGCAAATGGGTGTTCTGCATAAAACCTAAAAATTCAGCACTAAAAAAATTAACTGTCGCTCTTTGCTGCGCTGAATCGCTCCGTGGGGATATCTGCTTCAACAATGGTTGGAAGAGCTTACGAACACGGCAACGCTATTGCGTTTATTCGTTTGGCCCATCTACACCTAGACTGTTTATTCAAGTCTCCTTTCGTGCGACAATCCCTCAGCTATCTCTAGTTCGGATCTGAACCAAACAAACTTACGGGAAACTAATTCATCAGCTTATCCGTTATTGTCCGGTCTCCGGTCCACCTACGGAAACCATACTGGGATACCCTTTGTACAGGTCTTACGACAAATGGGCGGGCACAGACGGTTGCAATACGTAAGATTCGCACGGATGGCTTCCAGAGGAATCTCGCAACAATCTCTCGAAAAAAATGGAGACATTCTGCGGTCTTCATTCCGATCAACAACGAACGCGCCAAATGGATCGTTTCTGGTGATGAGTAGAACCGCATGTGTAGCACTTTTCAGAGCCTCCCTAAGTATGTAGCACCAACCCAAATAGGACGGCCCTGCATGCATACTTCGTTTCAACATTCTGCGGGTCGCAACTATCCAGCGGTTCATGATCTGGATAATGATGAATTTCAACTGGGTCGGGTCAATATTAACACTGCCGGGTCGACTGGGACAGGGCCCGTAAAAATGACGGACTGGTCACACCACTATGCGATTCACTCCTCTGAGGCTGAACTGGAACAAGTCAATACCTCGAGAAAAAGTCTTGGCATGCTGGCAAAAGAATTCGAAAAAAGAAAATTCTTCAAAGCATCTGGAAGAGGCATGACCTACCAAAAACGTCAAGCGCTGAGATAATCGAATTCAAATCAACATTATCACCATAATCATAATCATCAAGTATGTTCATCCACAGCATGACATCAGTGTTGAACGAAAATGCCTTGCTGTCTTACAACGATGGTTTACTTGAAAGCCTCATTGTGAATAAAATAATAAAAGTGGGTGGCAAAGGGATTTCACGCTAGCATACCATAATCATTCCGAGGTGCCTACACCTCCAAACACTCATGCAGGAAATCTGGATGGAAACTGACAACACTAATGCCAGTAACATCGATGAGCGACCATATCTTGCAGCGTCTCCAACCAAAAGCAGTGGGGATCACACGGTCCCCATCCAAGTACTACCTACAAGTACTACCTGCAAGTACTAACTACAGCACCCAAACGTTTCGTAATCTCTACCAGGTCAAGGGTTGGCCACCTATCTGCTTCTGCCACTTTGAAGCGGACCCGGAAAACAGCGCCCTCTTCGACAAACGATGCTTCGGCTTATGCAATACATGGCCTGACCGACCAAGCTTCCGGTGCTGGACACATTCTCCACTGGAAGCTCTTGTTGCACAACCGAAAACTCACTTTTTAATTACCTCGTTGCAGATTCGCGGGCACCAACCCACACGAGCTATGGTCCTGAGACAACGACTGTCGAAGACGTCTCAGTTCCGCTGCTCAAACAGGCGATCTCACGGCCATACAACAAAACAGCCCACAATGTAGCCCGACACACAGGTCTATTGAGATTTAGGGATACAACGATCTGACGCCATAGCAAACACGGCCCGAGCCTCGCAGACTCGTGCATTGATCTCATCTGTTACACTAAAATCATAACTAATACAACTTCCAAGATCGGTAAAAGGCACCACAACTTTCAGTGCCTCTCCCTGGATTGTAAGTGACGCGTTCGGTGACTGCATGTCCAGGACCTTAAATTTTCAGGGTGCGAAGCGTATGACAAGGGACGGGACGAATTTGGTCAGTTCATCCAAAAACACTTGCGCCTTCTCTTTCTCTTCGAAGACGAGAACCATTGGTAATGGTTTCATCGGAGGCTATTTGAACACCAGGATTTTGCAAACATTACATTGTTCGTCTTATTATTTTATCGATCAAATATTAGATAGGAATAGAGAGAGTGTGCACCCATGACGGACATCGCTTTGTGTACAGAAACATCTGGACAGCTCTTTGTATACTCTCACTCGTCGGAAGTCTGAGATACAAAGAATTCACAAACTTCCGGGGCATTCCTTGATAGGCAAGCACGTTAAGAACACATCAGTCAACTGAGTCGAATGTATGTTGGGAACCTAGGAATGCCAAAATTCTGGGCCGTTTGTACGTATGGCGTCGTTCTAGCGCCTGACGGTGTGTGGAGATTTGGTCAACCTAACTCCTGTTAGGCTGGAATCCTGCTTGCTGCTATCGAGTCAGTGTTTCACGAGCGACCATAAGGCGACGAAGCACAAGTGAAGCCAGCAGACCGGACTCAATTACCAAGCAGTCGACAAAGTACACCTGCCCAGAAACTTACCTTTGGATGTTTCCATGGCAGAAAGTCACTCTGGATGTCATAGAAGCACTTGCCGTACTTCTCTAGCGCCTCCTCAAACAAGTTTCCTTCACTCGCAGACCACGACTCCATTTCGTCCAGTTTGACGACAGGCTGACCGTCTGGGGTGAGTGCTTGTAACGCACGAGAGACATCGTAATTGGCAGAGTGTAGCGTGTCCAGAGCGAACTGTAATGTGGAGTCACGGCCAGCAGCAGCCGCGGACATTGCTACGGTTGGTTGTCGAAGGCTACTTGCCGGATAGTAGGCCCGACCGAGCGTGCCCAGGGAACGGGTTAACAAAAGATATGAGTCAATCTCAGAAGGAGTTAGGTTCGAGTTGGGCATCCACCGCAGTTCTTCGCGATGTTTATCTTCCTCATCAAAATCTGTTCAAGGTATTAGTGGAACGAATAATAGGTGAGAAGTACGAAGTAGTTGAACGAAACGGAGGAGGAAGAGAAGGTGAATCAAGGACTGTCCACCAGATTTAAATGTGCATCACAAAAATGTGGGTCAGTGTATCTGGATAGGTTAACAGCAGAGATTCCCACCTAACGCCATTGGGTGGTGTCAGTGTTTGGGGGATTTCAGTCGCAATTATTCGATTTGGTTTCCTTCTTTAGAGGGGGGGGGGCAGAAGGCCCTTACCGACTGACAGTGAGCCTAGATGACAACTCAGGAGTCAATCGTGCACAAGAGATGAAATCAACTGCCACCGAAACTGATAGAACGAGTTTACATCACCAACTGGTCGCGTGACGAACGTATCGATTGAAAACAAGTAAACACACGTACACGCATACACACATGCAGGTCTACTGAAAACGGCAACTTGCAACACATCATTGATAACAGGACACGCACAGGCACGTGCGTGAATCGATTGACAGAAGCAGGCGATGGACGCGCGATCGATCGACCGCGGTAGACACGGTGGGATGCGTCTGTGTGTCAGTATGCGGCCGAGGTAGTGCGGCTATGTGTAGCCAGTCTGCCTGCGATTAGTACTCGGTCAGACGACGAACTCAAGAGTCAGCAAACAACTTTATTGACAGGCACGGCGATATTAGTAATAATATCATTAGTAGGAGATTAAAACACCTGAGGAAAGACTGGAACGATAAATGGCATGACTACTGAGTGAGCCGACCAAACATAAGTGGAAACGTATAACGGAAATAAAGTACTTAGGATGCATCTTACGAGAACTGAGCCAGCATAATTGAGCACAGAACCTATTCTTTCACATGGCCTCTTTAGGATACGGGTCACACATAAGTGACGGACACGAAGATTCGAGGTAGGAAGCGCGCAATAGGCTTTAAAGTTAACTGTAACACCATCACCAGTGAAACATTATGGCACACGTGAACGGATTAAGTTAGAGTTAGGTTCGAGTTGGGCATCCACCGCAGTTCTTCGCGATGTTTATCTTCCTCATCAAAATCTGTTCAAGGTATTAGTGGAACGAATAATAGGTGAGAAGTACGAAGTAGTTGAACGAAACGGAGGAGGAAGAGAAGGTGAATCAAGGACTGTCCACCAGATTTAAATGTGCATCACAAAAATGTGGGTCAGTGTATCTGGATAGGTTAACAGCAGAGATTCCCACCTAACGCCATTGGGTGGTGTCAGTGTTTGGGGGATTTCAGTCGCAATTATTCGATTTGGTTTCCTTCTTTAGAGGGGGGGGGGCAGAAGGCCCTTACCGACTGACAGTGAGCCTAGATGACAACTCAGGAGTCAATCGTGCACAAGAGATGAAATCAACTGCCACCGAAACTGATAGAACGAGTTTACATCACCAACTGGTCGCGTGACGAACGTATCGATTGAAAACAAGTAAACACACGTACACGCATACACACATGCAGGTCTACTGAAAACGGCAACTTGCAACACATCATTGATAACAGGACACGCACAGGCACGTGCGTGAATCGATTAACAGAAGCAGGCGATGGACGCGCGATCGATCGACCGCGGTAGACACGGTGGGATGCGTCTGTGTGTCAGTATGCGGCCGAGGTAGTGCGGCTATGTGTAGCCAGTCTGCCTGCGATTAGTACTCGGTCAGACGACGAACTCAAGAGTCAGCAAACAACTTTATTGACAGGCACGGCGATATTAGTAATAATATCATTAGTAGGAGATTAAAACACCTGAGGAAAGACTGGAACGATAAATGGCATGACTACTGAGTGAGCCGACCAAACATAAGTGGAAACGTATAACGGAAATAAAGTACTTAGGATGCATCTTACGAGAACTGAGCCAGCATAATTGAGCACAGAACCTATTCTTTCACATGGCCTCTTTAGGATACGGGGTCACACATAAGTGACGGACACGAAGATTCGAGGTAGGAAGCGCGCAATAGGCTTTAAAGTTAACTGTAACACCATCACCAGTGAAACATTATGGCACACGTGAACGGATTAAGTTATTTCCGCAATTCGATAACATTATCCAGAAAAACGAGGGTCAACTTGGTGTGGTGGCCACCAAAGGTTCATAGAAAGGTCAGTCAAACAGTGGAAAGGTACAACGACACGAACATAAGGTTTTCGAATACAATCTCAATTTCTTCAATAATCCTTCATTGTTTGGATGCGGAGGGGACCTCGACAAACAAAGTACTGTCAATGGAAAGCCGCAAGAATAGCATCCTTCGAGTTGCCCTTTAGCAAACAAGTGCATCTTCAGTGATATCGATACCAGTGTCTCACTGTTGTCCGTCGGTAGGACAGACTGCGGCCAGAAGAGGTGCCTCCACAACATGAATTGGGCGGTCTCAAATCAGCTGTGTGTCAACATTAATCACTGATGAGAACAAAAGAGGGTCGCCGGTGAATAGGGGAAGACCATGGTACACAGAGGATCGATCAGTAAATTGTGGTGCATCAAAAATGTGACAGAGTGGTTTATGAACACAGAAGGCTTACCTTTAGGAGGCGGTTGGTAATTTGGGACATCTGCCTGATACTCCGGGCCTTCTCGCATGGTCCCTCGATCGGCTTGCAAGGTCTTTTGTACGGGGTCGTAGACCAGTTGGAAGAAAAAGGAGTCATCCTTAGATAGGTAGGTGGAACATGATTCGGTGTCATTGTGCAGGTGACTGTACAGGTCTTTTGTACGGGGTCGTAGACCAGTTGGAAGAAAAAGGAGTCATCCTTAGATAGGTAGGTGGAACATGATTCGGTGTCATTGTGCAGCGTGACTGTACATTTTCCGCGGATATGCGTGGCGGGTAGCGTTTCTAACTGACGAGATAAAAATAGTTCGCGGTGGCGAATCTGGGGGATGTCTGATTGTGTACTATTATCAGTAGTAGTGGACAGGTCTTCTATTGAAATAGTTCTGGTTAAAGAAAAGTGGAGTTCAAGACATACTTTGGTGTTTATCAGCCAATTGTACTAGATTGACGGATAAGTCGCGCCGGCGATAGAAACAAACAACTTTGGCTTCGACGGCACCTGTGGATGTCTGCGGGAAGTAATGGTGACGGACTATCGAGTGAAGTACTTACTTTATTGAGTTCTTCAATTTTTCTAATTTGATAGGGTGCCGATGCGGAAACTTCAAAGTACACGAAGTCTAGATTCATGGAATAAGAAGAGCCATTGTAGCAGTCAACAGCCAAATTGCGAGGTACATGAATGTAATTAGAACATGTACAATGAGACCTATTAGAGTCCACAGAAATCCGCTACCGCTAGTCACGTTATCCATTGTTTGGTAGCATGAAATTTCTAACTAAATGATAGTAGGTATAACGGTCCGGAATTAGCATAAAGTCAATTATAAACGATGAAGAAAACACATCCGACAGTCAAGGACCCATAATTTTTTAGCCTGTTACTTATATTAGGGTCATCTAAAGCTCATTCTGGGGATTTACTTGACCAAAATTTGGTTCATTTACCGATTCATATGGGACTTTATGATAGCTTCGAAAATGGGTAGGTTAAACTTGCAAGACAAAAATCGAGCAGTTTAGTTGGTTGACAGCAGCTTTCATCTCGCGTTGCCACGTCATGACCAGTCCTCTCCAGGTTCCTTTGGGTAGACGTGAAACAGGCGTACATAGTGCCAGACCATTTTCCTTAATCTAACAGGCCCTACGTGCTGATCAGGTGGATCCGGCTTATAACCTATTAGTTTTTTGTGAGGCGTTCCACTACGAACCTACTGCAGTCAGTTAATAACCCCATAGTGGTTTTGCGAAGTCTTTCAATCTCAGTGTCAACAGCAAGAGATGTCACAAGTCGCAGGTTTTGTTGTATAAAAAATTTCCAGTATCGCCTTTGATGACCATCCCGAGTCCAAGTTGAACGGTTCACCACATGGTACCTTTGATGGACTTCCGCTTGCGTATGGCAGGGAACGAGTGGTTGGGAGCTTGAGCCCGCCCACAGGAGCATCTTTTCGTTTATGCTACATGAGTTGGACTTCTTTATAAACAAAAAAAACGAATGTGCATATGTTTCAAGTGCTTCAGACGTGGCGAGTTGTTTACACCGTCGCTCACCACCCGAATTATAGAAATTAGCGGTTCATGGCATCAGGCTCCTGGGGTGATTGCCGTGGCGGAGAGACTGAACCTCATAGTGCAACGGTTTACATACCTCGGTACTGGAGGGTGACCATTCTTCAATCAGATTATTAAGTGAATAGAGGTCTGAAGTCCCCTGGCCCTCCAGGTTTGGGGTTGGAAGAAGTGGGATAGTCCCCTAAAAATTCGAGGCAATCGAATAGTAGCACGTCGACAATCACTACCTTGCGGTCGGGCTTTCGAGCTAAAAGCTATGGTTGACGACTCTAATCGTCATCCTGTCTAAGACTGGTCACTATGGCATTATCTCAGACCCCCACAAAGCCATGGAATACAAAAGTAAAAGGACCTTCATACTTAATCAGCCCGGTCACATTATTCGCTACATACAACAAGGCGGATAAACGACTTCTTTCACGGCATGCATCACATGCATTTTATGTTTCTTCACTGTTACCTCTGAACTCCCATGCTATCTCACTTGAAAATTTCTCTTAATTACGTCACTAAGGCCCCTGGAAAATGTACATGCTGCATGCCGCCGCTTATATCCATTGATGCGTCTCCGCTGCATCTCTGGAAATCGAATACAGGATCCAAGACAGGTGTTGTGCAGACCTTCCGGAAATCCTGAAGCTGTTGCACCGGATTCAACCGGTGTTGATATAGGCTTAAGTTCACAAACTGAGGTTTCATTGCTTGACTGTATACCTGCAAACGACCGACTCTGTTCTGTCCGACTTTTCATTTCGATAAAAACTGGCAGTGGTTGGAATACGCTCTGCTAATCCTATCCATTTATGCACCAAAGAAGAGTAGCTTCGATTCATTGAAAGACGTCTTCTATGGAGAACTGATAGCCCGCTTTCCCACCACGAACAGTTCACATATAGTCCTAAAAGCGGATTTCAAAGCACATGGAGGACGCCTAAAGCCATAGAGCGACAAAAAGCTGTCACCCGACCGTGGTGGTCGGGCTTCCGTGTTGCAATGATTCTGCAAACTATACTGACTGAAACTCAGTTCCTAAAGATTTGACCATGCCAGGTGGGCCAAATGGGAGCGCTGGATATCAGACCGAATACTAGCATTCTTTAAATATGGGAGGAATATCCCAGCTGGTCCCGAACATAACCTCGTGCGACGAATTATCAGATATCAAGTGAAAGTGCGCGTGAAGTCTGTTGGACACAGAAATCCAAGGAAATGGAAGAGGTCCAGAAAGCCGGTACTGTCCGAAGATTATTTCAGTTGATCTGCGCGACCGGCCCAAGGAGACCTCCTGTGAGTGAAACTATCAAGGATCAGAAAGGAGTGACTATCTTGAATAAAGAGCGCCTCGACCGATGGGCCGAATATTTCGAACTACGGTGCCATCAGCTGCCACTCATATGGAGCCCAGAGTTGACGTAGAACCCTGGACGATGAACGTGGAATCACCTCAGAGGTTTACGACTGCATATGTTCTCTCAAGCGCCACCGAGCTTCAGGTCCAGATGATCTAACATCCACATTGTTCAATGGCGAAGGTGGAATTTTCAGTCGGCGCTTATCTAATCTGTTTGCCTGCATTTGGGAAAAGGAGACTGTTCCAGACAACTTGGGAGAGTCGATGAGAGTGCCCATTTTAAAAAAGGGACTCGCATTGGGTGTCGTAACCACTGGGGGATCAGCATAACCCCCGTTGTAGCGAGACTGCTGGCTTCACTTGTGCTTCGTCACCTTATGGTGGCTCGTGAAACACTCACTCGACAGCAACAAGAGGTGTTCCGGCCCGGTAGGGGTGAGGATAACCAAATCTTTACACTCCATCGGGTGCCAGTACAGTGTCATACGTGACGACATAAAATTTTAGTATTCCGGGGTTACCAGGTGCATTGGGCTCAGTCGACTGACATGTTCTTAACATGCTTGTCTATCAAGGAATACCCCGGAAGTTCGTGGACATAATGAGCTCTTTGTATTCTCAGACTTTTAGGAGTGAGAGCATACAGAGAACTTTCCAAACGCTTCCGTACACAAAGCGGTGCCCGCTAGGGGTTCCCACGAACTCCATTCTTATTTGATTGCGTGATCCATTACGTAATATGACGAACGCCGGAAAGCATGTTTGAGCAACGGAACTGAGACGTCTTCGACAATCGTTGTCTCAGGACCATAGCTCGTGTGGGTTGGTGTCCACAAACCTGCAACGAGGCAATTAGGAAGCGAGTTTTCGGTTGTGCAACAGGAACTACTATTGAAGAATGTGTCCAGCACCGGAAGCTCGGTCGGTCAGGCCATGTATTGCATAAGCCGAAGCATCGTTTGTCGAAGAGAGCGCTATTTTGCAGGTCCAATTCGGAGTGGCGGAAGCAGAGTGTTGGCAAACCCTTGACTTGGCAGAGGGGTATGAAAGGGATTACGAAACGTTTGGGTACTGTAGGTGGTACTTGCCTACGAGGATGGGAACTGTGTTATCCCCACCGCTACTGGTTGGAGACGCTGCAAGAAATGGCTGCTCAGGAACAAATCGTTCAGCCGTGGCACTTTTTCGGTGCTTAAATACCATACCACCAGGAAGCACGAGGGCTGGTATACTATCAGGCTGCCCGGGCCTAGACAGGGAAATCGGGATGCATAGGTCGGGTTCGATCCACGGAAATTCCGGTCATTAAATTCGCGCTCTAATTACTGAGCCAGCCGCTAGTCGATGTCAAAGCGTTCGTGTTGTAAGTTTCTGTCCAGATTGCCTGAATGAGTGTCTGGTAGAACCAACTCACTTCCCTGTTCAAATAAATCATGGTTGTACGACGAGTCCCTATACTGCGAGAACTAGTATTACGAAGCGGTTTGGAAGTAAAGTCGTAGTGTCCTCTTCGATGGAAGTCCGAAGGCAGTAAGACCTTCCCCTCAGACGACCAGCAAGTGCACATTTATGGAGGCAGCAAAGGACGCGTTGGAAAAGGCCGGACAAACCACCATACACTCCGATCACTCAACTGTTGACCGTGACCGTCGATGTATTATTCAATGTAGTCGACATACATTGAAAACCAAGTAGTCCGGTGCTGGTGCGCACCTGCATTAGAAGGGAGACAGCAATGCCTTTCCCCCTGAATCCTCAGGCCAGTTCAGCCTCCTGCAGCTAAGGGGGTCAGAGTGTTGAGGCATTGGGTCCGGGAAGGGTCCCCAAGAAAATCCTAACAACTGCTGTCTCGCGGTTCAGACGTTTGAGTCACAGGATAGGGGGATGGTCCTAGAGTAAAACCCTACCTTGTTGCACTGTCTTATGGGTCGGTCAAACAGTCAAGGTAGGGAACCTCAACCAGACGTGTTTCTACGGCTTGGTAAACCAGAAAGCATCGTTCGCCGTTGCAATGTTTCGCTCACCTCCCCTCCACACCCATCGAGCGGTGCAGTGTGATCATCCAATCTACTACTCACCTAGCCATTATTCCGTGTCTAAATCGTCTCCCAGAGACAAACAAAAACAGCCACTTACTGACCTTTGGAGATCTGATCCACGTTGTAGTCTTTAATGTGCGTACTCTACGTCTAAGTGGACAACAAGCCTTTCTAGATGAACCCTTGCTTTCCTATCTGTTGATATACGTTGTGTCTCCGAAAAACGTATACAAGACCCCTCACTTCGGTCGTGCACCTCAAGCCTATTAGGTGGAGCTCAGATGTTCTACATTTCACTCAGTAGTTAGGACGCGAATTTACCGGCCGAAAGGTTCATTGTTCGAACCCGACCTCTGCCTCCCGAATTCTCCTGTCTAGGCTTGGTAATATACCAGCCCTTGCTTCCTTCGGGTGGTATGGCAGCTAGACACCGAAAGGATGTTAATTTAAACTTTTTATACTTCACTCTTTGGGTATCTGGTGGTCCAAACGCAATGGCTCGTGGAATCTACGGTGTGGGAATTGCACTCAGCCCCAAAGCCGAAAGCGCCTCGCTGGACTGGATGGCAGAAAACAGTCCTCTTTGCGTTGCGCGGTTGTCTGGCATAATTAAGAGCAATACAGGTCAATGCGGTGAACGGTTTCTATTTGTCGTATCGGCATTCGCCCCGAAACAAAACAGTTCTAAAACTGAGAAGGACAGTTTTCATGAAGATCTGACACGAGTGATTAGGATACCGTAATCCTAGTGGGTGAAGCGAATGCTCAAGTTGAATGACTGAGTCCGGAAGAAGCACGGTTGGGTAGTTGATTCGAGTTCATGCTAAGCACAAGGTACTGGGGAGCGACTGCTTCCGTTATGTGCTGACCGTGTTGTGTTCCTGGCCAGTACGAACTCCCAACACGAACGCTCACTTCGAGTTGCTTGGAGTCAACCAACCGCAATACAGTCATTGATTCAATTGGACCATGTGGCTATCAGATGGAACCTGAATTAAGGGTTATGGTTCTTTCTGAGGTACGCAACTTGACTCTGATCACGCCATACTGCAGGACCGGTTAGCACTTCGCGTTTCGCCAGCACTACACACGCTGAGAGAGAGAGAGCAGCTCCGTTCATCAACTTCGAAAAGTTTCAGTAGCTGAAGAGTATCGAGCTTATCTGGTTAGAAGGCTGCTGGAGACACACAGTCATGTGAACGACGAAGATTGCTTGGAAGATGAATGCAGGCGAGTTGAATAAGCAGTACTGTCAGCTTTCAGAACTGTTTGACAACCCATCTGACTCGACTCAATGGACACTGGATATCTCCGAGACCAGCAGATCATATTGCTGCCAGAAAGGCCATACCAGCAACGAGCGACTGTGATGGCGCATGCAGATCGCCCAAACACCGAGTGATCAAGAATTTGAAGAATGACAGAGAACGATGGTGGATTTTGAAGACCCAGTATAGAGGCATTCGCTGAAGGCAACAGCCGCTTCCTGTGTCAGCTGATTCGATCAACCATCCAAAAGAAGACAAGTGTCCACGAAACAATATGCGAAAAAGACGGAACGGTGATTCATTCCCTCAATAGTTGTCTTGAGTGAAGGGCTGAGCACTTCCAAGAACAGCTCAGCCGGTTTCCTTCAGCAAAACAACTGGAAGAACCCAGCGGGCCTGAATAGAACGTCAACACCAGTCACCGTCAACATCAGCCGGTTTCCTTCAGCAAAACAACTGGAAGAACCCAGCGGGCCTGAATAGAACGTCAACACCAGTCCACCGTCAACAACCGAAATACAGCATTGGATATCACTCCTCAAGCGCGGCAAGGCATCTGGCACGGATGGTCTACACCACACTCTTCAAAGGTGACGAGGCCTTAGTGAACAATCTGACAAACAAACTGCAGATTTGGAACGAAAAGTACCGGCCGACCTTTATCTCAGTCTTCCAAAAGGGCTCAAGAAGGTAATACGAAAATCACCGTGGCATCAATCTGGTATCCACCGCATCCAAGGTACTCTCTGTCATTATTTTGCGCAGGTTAGTTGATTATCGGGAAACCGACTCGTGAGAATCAAGCTGGGTTTCACTCTAGATGCCCGAGGATGCATCAACCGGATCTTTACTTTGAGATAGGTTCTCGAGCAGCGCCACTCCTTCAAACGTCCCAAGTTGGTCGTTTTTCTTGATCTGAAAGCGGCTTATGACTCTGTCGATAGTTAGAAACGTTGTCAGTTTCTAGGGATCAAAGGTAAGCCTTCCAAATTTATAACCCTTATGAAGGCTCTGGAGGCGAACTCCCGTGGGAGCTTATGATTATACGGCAAAATTTCGCCTGAGTTCATCACGTGTGAAACCACCAGTGTAAGACGAGGCTGTTCTCTCTTATCTTTCCTTTTCAGATTTGCTATTGGCGTGCTGATTGAAATTTCTTTGCATGCCCCTGAAAGCTCGTGCGTCGAAATTCTCCCGGGGTATTCGCGTGCAGATACTAAGAGTGTGAATGATATTGCCGTTCCTGTTCAGGTCCATCAAAGATTCGATTCATTCTAAATAACCCAAATAATTATACTGCACGGTTTGGTGACCGAAACTGTACTGGCTGGAACCAACCTCTCCTTGGTATAGTTTGTTTGTTGATAGTTGTTGTTGGTTGGTTCGTCGTTGTTGGTTTGTTGTTGGTTGATAAACGGAACTCGAATAGTCGTCTTCGCGCTGTTCGCTTGACTGGCTCGATTAAGATCAACGTGACTCGGCGAAGTGCACAGAATTTATTTGCTCTGTCAGCATACGATCCAACGGACAGCAGACCTGAGGTCAAGGAAGACAACCTATATCGAGATTTGTCATGGCTGCTTCGGTCAGCAAGAAGTATAGATAACGCGATTCTGGCATATGAATATTCAGGTCCGCCAACCAGGTTATGAGGGAACCTACTTTGGCGTCCGATCCGGAGTTGACGCTCATTGCACAGATACTGAACAGCGGGCTCTTCAGTTATGTGATGAACAAAGTTTATTTCAAGTCAGCACACAATTTCAGCATAAGCACTCATACTGTGTGACTTGGAGGCCACCAACCTAAACCGGCCATAAACTCAGTTGGACCATGTGGCAACCAGCAACCGGTGAAGAGCTTCGATACAAGATTGCCGTTCATTTTGGAGTGCATAATTTGACTCCGATCATGGCATCGTGCGGGCACATGTATCTACCCGTTTTCTCTCTGGAACACACCACTTGACGCAAGGCCATTTGATTCTTCACTTGAAAACGTTTCTGCGGCCCAACATCAAGTCGAGTTGGATGAAAAGCCTCCACAACTCAACAAGCGCAGTGGTGATTTGGATCACGAGTGAAAAAGATGAGACGTCAAGCTCACAGCTTATAAAACCGCCTACTCGCACACCTAAGTGAACATTGGATAGCGTTGCGATCAACAGCTCTGTGGTGCCGGAAAAACTGTACCAGTAATAAAAGGCTACGATGACAAGCGCAGATCCCTCAAGCGAAAAATAGTGAAGAACCTATGGATTGACAGAGGAGGCTGATGGATCACAAAATCCCGAGAGGTGGAGAAAGCCTTTGTAATGGAAAATAAACGCACCCAGTTACAGCTGGGTCCCAGGGCCGGTATTAGCGAAACTATTTTTGAAAAGAGCTTGGGTTTGTTGATTGGTCTATAGCTGCATATGCTTTGTATTATACCAGATGCAGTCAATACGCGGCTAACGAAGGAGCGCGCAGTGTTCGGCAACTTGCGTTATTCATGGAGTCAGAAAGGCCATATATACAAAACAATCGTAAGAGCGTTCTTGCCCTATGGGGTTAGACTTGGCCTCTCCGAATCATGGACCCGAGGCATCTCCAAAATTTCGGTTACCTGTTTTCATAGGATGGCACTTATTAGCTGGGTGCACAGTGCCGCCGTGACCTGTGATAAGTGCGATCACAATGCTCTACGGTTAATAAATGGGAATAATAGTTCAGCTGGAGCACATTTTCGGTGCCTAGCTGCTATGCGACCCAAATGAAGCAGGAGAGCTAGTCTCAAGTCTCGACAATAGCGATCGAGGGTCACAGGTTGGATTCGAACCCCAACTTTCCAGTAGGCATCTCCAAAATTTCGGTTACCTGTTTTCATAGGATGGCACTTATTAGCTGGGTGCACAGTGCCGCCGTGACCTGTGATAAGTGCGATCACAATGCTCTACGGTTAATAAATGGGAATAATAGTTCAGCTGGAGCACATTTTCGGTGCCTAGCTGCTATGCGACCCAAATGAAGCAGGAGAGCTAGTCTCAAGTCTCGACAATAGCGATCGAGGGTCACAGGTTGGATTCGAACCCCAAACTTTCCAGTCAGTAAATTCGCCTTTTAACCACTTAGCTACGTCGACCTCCATCTAGCTCTCTTGAAATCCAGTATCAATCAGGATTGTGACCATTCATTTCATAGGTTCGCCAGCAGACACTGACGAAGTCTTCTACACCGCTTTTACATTGGACATTTTCGACAAAGGCAACTTATATGATGAGCAACAAGAACTGCTTAGTTGTATATCCCAATAGTAAGTTGAACGCGAGAAGAGATGTTTCACACGAAGCCAATCGTCGCTTCGGAGGTCTCTTGAGAGGTTCGGAGTGGAACAACAGTGCCAGAACCTTGAGCGACTGATCAACTTCCATCATCATCACCATTGACAGGAATAAACCAGGAATACACAGATACTTAACAGCTACACATCCATCAGGAATAAAGCCCACAGCAAGGAATTAGGCCTAATGCAAAGGAATCTTATGCCTTTACGGAAATCTACCAATAAGAGGGTGCTTAGGTATTGAAACAGTAATGAAACAAACATATAAGAGCCCCATGCTAAACTTTATTAGATCAACCGACTCACACTAACATCTTTAGCGTCCAAGGAGGCACCTAGAAACGTGGTGGGCCAATGACGGTCAGGTTGTTCTCAATAGAGGAATCCGAGTAAACGCCTGATGGGTATCGTCTGTCCAAAGCTAGGTCCTACTGTGGGACAGTGTTCCAAACGCCGCCCTTGTATGCGCAAGGGACAAACTTCACTTTGCCGCCTCATACAAACGTCGGTCAACGAACTGACAAGATGCTACTGTTCCAGCGATCTCCGCCAGAGTTCTGATTCCATCAAGCGCTGTCCATAGAACAGGTAACCACTTCAAGCGTCGGATTCACATCGGAACTACCTCTATCTAGAAACACACTATTAACGCTTTCATTTCCCGCAGTTTATGCCATCAAGCTAACTGCTGGGTCGGAAAAGATTCTGCGGACAGCTGCTATCACTACTTCACTTAGCGGGGAGACAAGAAAATACGGTTCACTTTTCGAAACCTTTCCGAACGCGTCACTTTTTAGGTCAACAGTAAGGCCAGCGAAATAATCTTGAGGACACCCACGGTCAACCTACTATGAGTTACGAGGACAAGTTAACAGAGTGAACCGAACATTTCGGTTCATTACTCAATCAACTCCCAGGCAAAAGCTGCACACCAGCAGAAATCTACAGACCCCATTTACCACCAGAATTCGAACCTCTTCAAAAGCTGCTCCACATTGTGTTAGTTACTGAGTTGTTCGGAGTTGGATGGGATACCTTTGTACTACCCCCAAGACTTCAAAAAGTGACAGAACGATAAGTGAAAACCATTGGGGTATCAGCATGACAGATGGAGAAACCAGAACCTTCGCCAAAGTACTGAATGCCTCAGAGAAGTGACAGTGCCTCAAAACAGAGGAAACCTGAGAGGCCTCTACTCAGGATGAGACCATATATTAACACTACGTCGTTTTGGAACACCACTACGAGTCGCACCAATCTAACACCACTTGCTACACTGAATTCCGTGCAGCATGTGATTCAGTCAGTTGGGAACGCCTTTAGTCTGTCTTCAAAGCTGATAATGTGCGTTTATCTGTGCCAGCTGTTTGGGTCACCTGAAATGCTTCGTAATTCTGAAGGATCTGATACGAGAACAATAAACTCAATGCATGCGAACTCAAGCTTCTAGAGCCTTTCGGTGACCATGCTTGACGCTGAAGGAGCGGTTTCGAGCAGCAGATCAATAAAAAAGTGAAACAGTGAGAGTGTGGCATTGGCTGAGATCACTGGACACTGAGCTCAGGTCTGCGAGTGTTCACGGGAATGGGTATACAGAAGTCCGCGCCCAGTCGGGCTTGTCCTAGGCAGTAAGAGGCACGAAGGGCGGAGGACAAACAACGTCGTCCTCAACAAGAATATAACGTGCAGTGTAATCGTATACTTAGTTTGAGTTCAAATTCAATTAGCCTAGCTCAAACATCCAACCACGATGTCTAACAATGGAAATTCATTCGATCCCAACTGAATTTTCCAATAGGGGAATATAGAACACGTTCTGTTCACCAACTCCCGACGCCAGCTCATCCCACACAGATACCGGCATCTACACTACTTGAAGTGATTGTTTTCAGTCCTGAGGTGCACATGACTATACTAAGGGGGTGGCGCATGCTCCATATCAATTTCTCCCACGTAGCCAGGCTCTTCCCAGAAGAGCGACAACGAACTCAGCGTCCTAATTCAGTTCTATCTTGCCATCCAAACATACTAATACTACCTATCCGACGACTTGAAGACATGCCAAAAACGAGCATTGAGCGACCAATGAGGGGTTGGGATAAATTTTAATATCCACACTCCGCTGCCAAGAGACTGCAGTTCATGTTAACACATGAGACTACCTGCTCACAAACGCCATTTCGCCACGGAAAAGCCGCGAGAACATTTTACTTTCGAGGGTGACATGTAACTCAAAGTCATCCGTGGGGCTAAAACACGGCTTTCTGCAGACGTATGAACTACTCCTATCTAGTTTCAGGCAACTTGGTGTTATCTTAGCCCTGATGGTTCCTTCGAGTGACGTGGCCGCTATGAACCCAAAGGACATTGCAGCCCAAGGATTGTCCATTTATATTTTTCCGGACACGGCTGACGCAAGGGTCATGAACCCAGAATGCTTACTGCCCCAAAACGACCGTACCGGCAGTAAGGATGGACACAAATTCGCCTTAAGTATGTCCCTCTTGAGGCCTGAATCTCTGGACTTGTCTTAGAATGTCTACTGCAGCCAACGTCAGTTTTAGGGTGGCTTATAACCACGATACCTACGTCAAGATGGTTTAATGCCCACGTCAGCGACAACAAAATGGCGGTGGGTTTGGATTGAAGTTCTTAAGGTAGATGCTGTGCCGTGTTGTTTGGATGAAAAGTTATTTATGGCTCTACCATGTGGCGCCGATTGCGATTCACTATCACAATAGTGATTCAATTCCTTGAATAAAGTAAAGCTGCCACGAAATTGCTATATGGTCCAGCGTTACACATGCGACTAGAGTAAAATCTACCCTAAAAAACGATAATGCTCACGTCCTATTCTAGACTGGTGTGCACCACCAAAAGCATTGCTTAGCACCAGCGCAGTGTGGCCTTGTCACAAGTCTATGACACGTCGGCGGTACCAATGGGCAGTTCGGACCGAAGCCCACTAATGGCCCTAGAGGTACAACAAATCTAAGGTAAAACCAAGCTCCATCACTACACCACAACCCGCCATGCCAGTGACATCACAATGGCAACCTATGCACTGCACTATTACTGACACTGTGCCCATTTGCACTAAGAACCCCAGCTACCCCGCGGCCTCGAAACTACAAAGTGACCTTATATGACTTCAGCATCTGGTCATCCTCCACTCACTCGCTCAGACATACGGATAAACTCGCCAGTAATCCTTCGACTTCCAACTTGGGTTTACCGAGCAGTTCATTCAGGGCACAAAAACCACAGCTGTCATTATTTGTACGGCAGATATGTGGAACGGAATGTGCTACATCATACCGCATGGTCTGTGCCTAAAACCAGACATGCCTGTTCACTGGTTATGCACCAAACCCAATAATGCAATACCCAACAGTGCAGCTACCAGCAAATTATCTGCACAGTATTTTCCCTCTCCGCCAGATAACGGCGACTGCAAAGTCGAAAGACAGTTTGCATAGCTCTTCAGCGCTGCAGTCTGAAACACATGAAAACGACGGCTAACACTAGTACCTTCACCATTAAGCCTAGAGGCAAAGAAACTCAAATGCTAAGTTCAGTCGTCCTGTATTAAGCCGTAAAACCCGTGGACAGAAAATCAACGCACTAATACACCGTAATGCGCATGAATTTCTGGTATCTGCTGTTTGTATGATTGAGTCAGGTGTTGAACATCATAAAACGTCAAAGCAATTAGCACGTTCCTAGCCATGCCTTCATACGCAAAACTTACCCCCAACACGATACATGTTATTCGATGTCATCCTACCGTGAGTCGGCAAGGGACTCAAACATCCAGTTGGACGGGCGATGGGAAACCCAGCGCTCTGATTGGCTCCACCGGCTTCGAGGGCTCGGACAGGGCAGGGATCAAGGGAAGGATTTGCAAATAGGTACCACCAGCCATCCATTTCACTGCGCCAAAGGCTACTATTGTATCTCCAGGTGCTTGACAGAAACTTAGCATACACCGCCCACCATGATTAAAGGAACCGGTTTGGTCATTGTCCATACGTCCAATCGGAGTCTCTTCGACTCGGAATGGAAGACGTTTTATGCAGTTGAGGTTCTAGGGTGAGTGGCCGAAATTCGAAAGCTATCTAGCCCTCACATCTGGTGATGGTGGAAGTTAAAGAATTTGTATTAACTCATAAGGTATAATGCAAAGTGACGCACTTCAATGTTTTAACTGGCGAACAAATTTTTTCAGGAATTGCAGGTGCCCTAGGATGTTGAAATACTGTAGATCAGCCTCCAACGAATTTGAGTGACTGCGTGCTTTGCATGTTCATGACTAATTTAGTAGGGGGACTGAGGCCGGTGAACGTTCAGTGAAACAACGATAAGCAAGCCGCAGGTGTTGAGTCGGTGTCTTTGAACAAAAAATTCAAAAAGAGCTAGACGGTTAGAGTTGCTCTCGCTGGTTAGCCTTTAATCCAGATGACCGGAAAAGGCTGAAATCAGTGATGGTTGGGTGCACGAAGAAGGTGGAGGGGATGGTTGAGATCGAACCTGGACGTGGGACGAATGTCAGAGGACAGCGATCCGAGAGAAATTGTTCAGGGAATATCTGGTTCATGGTTCACTTGAAGGTGCGAAAATTCTTGGAATGAGTTGTCGATAATGTAAGCCTGCTACTGGAAAGGAGCATAATACGCAGAGAGAAATCGAAACGGACTCAGTCTGTGCAGCTCCAACGGAGGACTGTGAGCCCCTGGTTGTGGGGTTTAGCGTTTGAATTCCACTCCCATCAGCAGTTATACGTCTGATTTCCCCAAACACAACATCGCCCTGTCTGCTTATGTCAGCTTTTACTAGGTGACTTGTACTTTACTATCGTATGTTATCTAACTCAACCCTTGGTAGCTAGTCTACTAAGTACAAATCCATCCCTATCCTAACTCATATAATCACTTATTCTCATCACCCGAGTCGTGGGGGACACAGAGGTCTTCTTTGGCTCTATATTATTGCGCCTTATCCCAGTTGAATTCTCCTCAAGCTCACCATGCTTCACTAGTGCTATCCCAACCCCCATCTTCCTAATCTTTGAAGTTCGGCAACACCCTGTTTGAACGACCTGGTTGGCTATTATCCACTCCACCTGGCCTATGATTTAAGTCTATTCTGTCCCTATTTGTAACCCAAGCTCCACGTTTGTGTTTAATGCGTGTATATGAACTGGCGCTTGCTTTTACTCATCACTTCATTCATTTTGGTCTTGAGGTTACCAAGATTTTTGTGATCGACTTTATGCACGTAAGACAGTCACACGTGGGAGCCTGTTCGCTCATCCGGTTGGTAAATTTGTAATCTAAGTAAACCATTTGTTTTGGACGGGTATCTATTATCGATCTTTGTATAATTTGTGAATGTGTCCTACAATAATACTACCGTATATAAAACCCAGCTCCGGCTTCGCTTCGCCTTCCCGAAGGTTCAGGTATTACGCGTCACATGCTTGCTCGTTATACCCAGTTTAAAAACTATTCTCTTTCTTCCCTTGACCGTATCTTCTCGCCCACTTGTTCCAATAACTGCAAATAGGAGGAGGCTCCCCACCTGGCCCAGGCTATCTCCCTGACCCGTCCATTACAATCCGCTGCACCTATCGTTCGAATTTATCCATTTCCTTGTGTCTGTGCTTCCCGCAAAATTCAGTAAATTTCTATGAAGTTCGCGTCCCTAGTCCGAGGCCATGAGGCCCCAGCGGTTGTTTTAGGTTTTAGTTCAATTTGACCGGCTAGATGATGCCAACTCTTCTGCTTCACCAGATCTGATGATCTGGTTCCTCATTTTCGACCGCTCGAACTTCTACTATCAGAAAGCAGGAAGCCTTTTGCTTCTCCCTCTCGCTGTTTTTTGCTCACCACATTCAAATACTAATGATCTGGGTTTGCTCGATATTCTCTCAAAAACGCATGGTAACTGTGCTTCCCTTTCCGTGTCGGTTTAGCGGTGAGCACGTCCACATCGGATAATGCTCAGAGCCTATGACGCTGTGCTTTTCCCAAAAACCATGTAGCTACAATCATGGTCATGCTTTTATTACTGTAACCATATGATCATACCTGACATGCCGTCCACAAGTTGGGAATGAACGTTACTACCATCGTTGTCATCTTAATGTGGCCTGCCTGCCGATACACACAATCTGCTATGTCGAATTTTTCTAGCTATGCCAATCCATGAACATCAACCAAATTCCTCTAAACTATGGCCTGTCCTTCAGCAACCCCTGGGACCAGAGATGCAGGAAAATGCATAGTTGGCAATTCTTTATGCCAAAAACATGCGCTACAACGAAAACATTCCCTAATCCATGTTGAGCCCTCCTCCAACTTTTTCTGTGCGCTGAAATCTAATTTTCCATCCAGTCACTCCTCCATACTTTTTTTGCATGCACACCTGCAGACGCCTAGTTAACCGGACTTTGTTTACCAGAGGCGCTCCCTACAAATTTTCTCCGTGTCCAAATTCATCGGAGGCAGAATTAATGACTTATCAATTAAAACGGTTTGCTTGCCACTGGACCCACCATTAATATTGACAATACAGGCAGAATACATTAAAAAGTTCAGCTTTTGCCGAACGATGGTGGCACAGGCCCAAGCTTGTCCAAGTTGGAGCATATATCCTGCGATATCTTCCTATGAACCTGCAACATTTCTCATTGGAGGGCAGGAGGTACCGTCTTATGTGTAGGTTAATAGAACCCCAGTTAATTTTTCTGTCAGTCATTTGAAATTTTCTTTGCAAAGCAAGTCTCCTAAGAATGCCACTGCGCTATGCTGAGGTCACCCCATCACGCAAACATGCAAAACGACCTTACAGCTTACGTTATTCTCTAATCTATTATCCCCGTATGATCTAAATTACAACTTCCTCCAGACCCATCGAAGGTAAAGGATGGGTCATGGCCTCTTTCTGCATAGCATGAAAAACAGGCAGCCATGCATATACTCAGTCGGTGTGCCATTGTTCACCATGGCCATAACGAGTGACCTTCCTTCCTATGCAGCTCACCCGCCCGGTTTCTGAATGCCCATTTCTGGACCGTTCAAAAAACTGTCTACAGTGGCTTCATAACTTACTCTTTTGCAACAGCACACCCTAATGCATGGTAATCCTACATCCATAAATGCTTCTACCTAGCCGCTGGTCACACAAACTGGCTACAAAGGCCCGTACGCTCCAGCGATGATCTTTGGATCCAAATACTTACGCCCTTGCCTTTCCTACCCTTCTTCTTGGGCCATTAAACAATATGCTCTGATCTTGGTGACGCACCATTTAGCTAATTAAACCTTCCTCATATTCAAACATGGTCACAACCTTTCGTAATAACCCCAAATAGCTATCCCCCACTATTTCCACCCGAATATTGAATATTCGTTTTGGAATCGGATGGTAAGGCCTTACTAGAGAAGCAATATATCGTAGCCTTTCGTAGCAGCCTGCTACCTTAGATCGCAGGGTAGCTTATACCCTGGCGCTCTATGGTGGACCTATATCTTCTAAACTTTCCGTTAGTCCCAAACAGATTTGGCTGTCGTGTTTGCTCTTCCAAATGGCATCAAGGCATCACGTCATCCTTCAAACAGGCTCAGGAATATCCTTGCCCCAAATTGGTCTTACTTTTCCGCGATTTCTCGCCCAACCCTGAATACCACATCTCTAGCCGACTCACTCGAGACTCTCATGCGCAGGGCCGTCCAGGGCCCTGAGTTAGACGTCGCATTGATGGTACCGTGACTGCCATCCCCAGCCTGACGACTTGCCCGTATTTCACCCTACCTGCACTATTTCTCAACCGCGCGTGTTATATGGACCTAAAATGTCTTAGTTCACTGAATTCGTACCAAGCCCCCAAAAGAACCAGCCACTCTACTGTAATGGCTGCCCGTTCTGACCATAAACCAAGTAATTTTTCCATGATCTTACCAAGGAGTCACTACAATGTCGAGGATGGAATGTAGCCCAGCAACCGACACAGAGTG